TAAAAACCACCTGAAATAAAAATAATAAAAAAAACAGAAGGGGAAGATGAGGCTTTCTAAGGGACTAACATAACTCACAGAAAAAGGAGATTATTAATCATTATCATGCAATAATATTATTGCAGTATTCTGTATCTCAGGGCCATTTTATACCGGTCTACTGCTCTCACTATCACATGATAATTACAAGAATTAGTAGTCTGAAAGAGATGACTGTGCAGCTTTTCAACTATTCCCTTTCAATTAATACACATATTAATTTTTATATATATATATATATAAATCAATTAAAACCTGTAATTCAATCCTCAGTTTCTCTATATACACCTATAATTCTGACCTACCTTTGGTTGCCTACTGTCTGTCTAAGCTAAGACAGTCTCCCTCTGTAGATGGCAGACACTGAAACATTTCAGGGGTGGTCCATAAATTTACCATGGCCACCCTATCTCACAGTGAGGCTATTAAGTTCTGGAAATAGTTCACACTTTTTACATACAAAGAGAGAGCAGACCACTATCTTAGATTGGATGTCACAGTATCAGACAGCAAAAGATAGATGAGCTGAATCCCACCCAGGCTTTTTTTCTCAAGCTGTGTACTAACATCAGTGTTTCTATCTAAAAGAGGAAAACAGAAAACAATTATCTATTTTGCTATGGTTCACACATGTGATTACATAAGGGATCCTCTCCTATCTATCTGGATTATATCAGACTACTCCAATACCTGACAGATCAGCAGGCTACCCACACACTGTAGAAATGGGGAAATCATCTATCCCTAAAAAGGCTTCAGCTGAGCTAATCTTCCAACCTATTTAAATGCATGCTGTGTGAAACACATTTAAAAGATAAAGCAAAAAGCAAACCCTGCATTTTACAGATTGAAATGTGATTGTATCCTCAAAGCACTGTCTCAGGTCCAGATAAGCTCAAGTAGCAACAAGCAAAGAGTATTTTCTAAGGAAAGAACTCGAACCATTTCAGTAGACGATATAGATCACACACCTTTTAATATACCCACAAATTGGATCTTATTCCCAACAGAGGTGGAGAAACTAAGGCATAACAAAACTCATATACAATCAAATGTAAATCACCTACAGTTGGCTTTATATCTTATAGGGTTATTCCATGACTCTCAGTTTCCCCAAGCTGTGGGCAGTGAAATGGGTATCTAGAGACAGTCAGCACAAGGACATCAAATTGCATGTCCACATGCATTTGTGACAGCATGGCACTGGCACGATCTTTGGGGTTTCACAGCTACAGAGAATACAGAGACAGAAACACAAGTGCCCATCAGTGCTGTGACTAGCCAGGAAGAAGATGTTTGCACTGGAAGATGTAAGGATGAGAAGTAAATCCACAATGGAAAAAACCCCAATCAAAAAGTAAGAAACAAAACCCAAACCAAACAACAACAACAACAACAACAAAAGACTTGGAAGGTACTGAGAATATTCCACGTGGCAGTTAGTGAAGAATGATTAACCATTACTAAGCAAAGAAATGTGCTTATGCATCAGGCAATAAGCTTTGCAGGAAAGAAACTACCTGTTTAGAAAATATTAAACTCTTATATGCTAGTGAAACCCAGAAAACATGGGGTTTAGCACTATTTCAGAGAAGAGGAGAAGAACAGAAGCAGGACCAGATGAGACTTCAGGGTGAAATTTGTCTGCCACACAATAGCTATTTAATGGGACAGGACCACACCCATTTAAGTGGTAGACTTGTATGTGGATCAGGCAGCTCTGTGACAATTTAGGAGCTTCCAGTATCATAAGGGATTGTGAGTGAAGAGGATACCTGAGGTTTGCAGAAAACTAGCTGCCTCTGGTAAGATTATGTTAAGGCCACACCTAGAGCCAGCTATTTCTTTACATGTATCTTCAGATGCACACTTTTGCTTCATCCACACATCTTGAATTTCAACTACCCATCTTCAGTCATGACAGACACAATCTTGTCCCGCATATCTGACATGGTCTTGCAAACATTGTCCCAGTTGTGTCTTCTATCAACTTACTGTTCTGTTCTGACACTGTCTAATTCCCCTCTGTTGCATCAAATGCAAACTGTTCATCTTTTCTTTTCATGGCACATTTCAGACTTATCTACCTGTCGTGACTCTGACATTTGCCTTCTCAAAAATGTCAAACTCTTCTGGTCATAGCCTTATATTTTTCAAACATGCACATTTTTTTATTGCTTTCTCCCATGTCACTCCATGTCTGCAAGCATTCAATTTCTTCCTCTTTTTAATCTCTGCCTTATGACTATTTGGCTACAAGAAAGCCTAGAAATAATTATGTACCTAGTAGACTGAAACTGCTACCTATGATGCTGATGAAGCCTTTCTGGCACTCTGTCACCTATGCCAGCATGTTTCTTCCCCTCAGAAACTTAACTGCAAACTCTTTAGAAAAGGAATAGTATGTATTGTTAACTGTTCCTCACAGTAGGATCCAGGGTGGTCCAGGAATATTTGGAAGAAAAAAGTAAGATTGCTTACATATCAACCATAAAATGCATTTCAACACTTCACATATGATGACAGTAAGTTAGGGATACTGTCTCTTCAGATCTCAGTTCTTAAAAATGGAAAGGTCTCCCAGTCTGAGGTAGTAAAACATAAACCAATTAATTCTAGGTTGCAGATGCATGTCATACAGTTCTTCCTGGAAGCATGGCAAAGAATGGGTCTTTTTACAGTTTTCAGCCACCTGTTACCACACCAAAAGGAGGCAAAACTCATGGTCGTGCAACTCACACAAAAAAAAAGAAATTCAGACAACAATGAAACAATTCACCCTGTTTCACTTGCAGCAGATTGCCAGGTAAATCTTTCCCTTATTGCTGCATGGACTTGGGTCTGAAGGGCAGTTTAATGAAAGAAATAGCCTCTCAAAAGTGGTATAAGTTCAGTTTCAAGCCGTCAGCCTCAGTGTTCAAGTAAAAATGAAAATCTCTTGAGATTATGTTTCAAACCTTACGAAATTAGATCTTTTACTTTGATAGAACTACACTGAATTACATGATTGGAGACTTTGCTATACGTCGAGGATATGAGTTATGCTGTGATCAAATCCCTGGCTTTAATTCACCTACCAAAAGCTACTCCTGTATGTCAACCACTATCACCTGAAAGAGATAATGTCTCTTGTTCTGCAAATTTCTTATCAACAGTCTGCATTTGCCCACCAGCTTTGAATTTGTTTCATTGCATTTCAAGCACATGAATGCATTTCTCTAGACTAATGCTGCTGTTTATCAGCCTTGCTTGGCTTACAGGGCAGCTGGCTCCACAATCTATCTGGAATCAAATTAGCTGTTGATAAGATAGTTGTAAATAAGCTGAGCAGGTGAATAGCTGTACATCACATCTGTGCATATCTTGATCTACTGAAAAGTCTGAACACAAGACCTTCCTGAGAAACTTTTCAGAGTAGTTTCTACAGCAGTGAACCTTAAATATCTGCAGCTACCTATGTGCCTTTGAGAGTGCAAACATGAGCTGACAGCAGTAGGAGGCTTCACTAGCTCCACAGAAATATGTATGTGGAAAACTGGTCATGAACCAGTTCTATGAGGTAATGAGATGGTCTCCTTCAGACAGAAGCCACACTGAGTTGGCACAGACATAGTGAGCCTCAGGCACCGAGCTCATATGACAGCACAGATGTAGCCTAGAGTTAAGTGTCCCTAATCACCTGTGATGGTCAATAGTGGCAGCTCTCTTCCTTCCCCAAGGAGCCTTTCCCTTCTCACCAACTGACTTGGTTCAAAGGTTTGAACTAGAGTGCTGCCTTTTGGAACAAAAAAAGCAATGGACAAGAAGTAAGCTCTCTGTTTAGAACTATAAACTCAGTGGTTTTCTTCCCATCCTTCATCAGGCATGATTTCCACACCAAGCCCCTGGTTTCCTTTCTGTTTACAATGTAGAGTTCAGGTTGACAGATCCACGAACAGACCTCTGAACAGCCTCTCCTGTCAGCTGCAGATCCCACAAATTACTTCGCCATTAACTAGCAAACCATTTACCGTCTCCAAAATTACAATACAGTTGCCAATATTCTCAGCTTTAAACCACTAAGTACCTTTCCTTCTCTTCTGCCTTTTAGCTTAACAGGGGGAAAAAAATGCATATAACCAATCTCATCCTATCTGCGGTCCAAGTGTTCATCAAACACCCGGAGTGGTTATAGTTGTATTCCTGGAATTGTTATTCTTACTCACCGTTTTTTTCTCTTTATTTCCCATGTTAGAACTGGAAGTTTGCCCTCATTTTCTGTTTTGCCTTTCAGTCAGCTGTATAAAGAGGCTTTATTTTGGCTTTTCTTTTCTCTCCTCTCTATTTTTAAGAATTCACAGTATGTTGTGCCTCTACTGTTTGATAGGGTTTTTTTAACCTTTAAAACACCTTAATATTCCTTTTGCTGTGGATTTCAGGAGCTGACTGTTTCATGTACTGTCAGTTTCAGATACTATTAATAGCAGCAGCCAAAAAAAAATCATAAACAGTTGAAAATTGGGTTCTTGCAACACGAACTTCCATATAATTTAAAACCAAAGAAGATCAGGGAGGCAAAATTGACATAAAGACTAAAATCAGCCAACTCAGCCCAGCTAAATTCAAGTAAATGTTGAATGACCAACGTGTCTATGATGTGGATGTAATATGCATGACTTTATGATTCTCCAAATCAATGTACAGTGTGAGGAAAAAAGCCACAGAAAAATTAGTTAACATAATCTGGTTTTGTTTTCTCCAAAATATTTGTCAAAACCATGCATATTTGCAGATGTATTCCTGTGTACTTTCCTTAATCTTCTTCCCGAAGCCTAGCCATGATGATGATGTCCTGTGTACTCTTGACCATTCAAACCAAGTCAGGACATGTTACGTGACCTCTCACAAAGCTCATTCCTGGTTGATGTGCACCTTGACATACAAGCTGTAGTAGAAAACACTGTAGGTGTGGGTTTACTTACAGTTGTGACAGGTCGCTCCCATGTAGCCCGTATTATTACAATCGCAGTAAAAGGTGGTCCAGGACTGAGAGCATTTACCTCCATGTTCACAGTAGTTGGGTAAACACCTAATTTGAGAGAGTTTTAAAAAATATAATTAATTATAAAGATTTCTGTAAAAACAATGTGCTGTAAAAAAATAATTAAACTCCTCATTCAGGCAAGAGTTTCCTAGGGCTGATTCACTGTATAATTCTTATTCCTCTGATCTGTAATTCACCTCCAGTGCAAGCATCAAAGAAAACAACATTTAAACTATCCAGCAGGTAGGTTAAGATCACTCTCAATAAAAATATTCCACCTGTTAGCAATTAAAGTGTCACAAACTTTCTGAGCACAGAACAAGAAAAGTAACAGGCAAAAATGTTATTGAAATTCTCTTGTTTCAAAGGAGAATCCCCTGTTCTCCGATTAAACAGGAACCACTGTTATCAAAATTAGGCTGAGTTACATTTGTGGTAACACAAGCAGCATGCAAATCTCTGAAGTGAGAGGAAAAATACGCTTCAATTATGAGTTCTGTACTCTCTCCTCTTTTCCTCATTTTAGTTGCTGTGCCTCTGAAGTATTATTGTTAAACAAATTAATAAAAGAAGAAAGAGGCACAACAGCATGCAGCTCAGGAAGTGAACAGAAACAAAAGCTGTGGGAGATAAATTCAATCTCCAGGACAAGAAGTGAATGCTGATCTGAACTGCTCTGGTATAAATGCACGCAGTGCAATGGAGTTACACCAACCTAAATGGAAACAGATTGTTCTCTTGTTTGCTGTTTCTTTCATATTTTTTTCCTTCTTATTGTATATTAATCTCTTTTACACAGTATGTCTGACTTTTGAAAAATAAGTAACTTGTTTATACTGCTGATTCAGTTGCGATGGGTGGGTGGAGAGGAAACAGGCAACCAACTTGTCTCTTACACTACAGAATTCCATTAGGGTTTGCTTTGCTGTAATTTGAGATTCAAAACTTTTTATACCCAGAGCTTTCTGGGGTGTTAGTGCTGAAGTCACTGATGCTACCTAGATTTTTGCCAGCTGAAGACATTGTATTGCAGTTCATCTCATCCTTAGAATTTTTTTTGCATATAAGTATGCATTTTGCCTTTAACTGTGGCTTTCAGTCTGTTTCATCTAGATTACTTACAATTAAAACCCATTTCATGCATGCAAGCAGAAAACCTGTATGTCCCTAACAGTCATCTATCTTCACCAGCCTTCTGAGCCTCACCAGCCAAGTTTTCATCAACCTACCTGACCAAAAGGTTGTTTAGAGCTGTCAAGCATTAACAACCCAAAGAAACCTGTTTCTGTGCCCAGAGGCCTATCAGACTAACCTTTCATTCTCAATATGCTCCAGGATAGTTCACACAAACATACCTATATTCATCTCAGTGTGAGTCTGGGATTCATTTTAGAACCCAGCTTCACTTGATCACTATTTATACCATCCTACATAAAATTATAAAGATCATAGAAAAATATTAAGATGAAAGTTTAATTATTTTTATTAATGTTTACTCAATTATTGCCATTATTTATTATAATACTGGAGAAATAAGAAATTCAATAAGAAAGTATACTATTTATAACTATCTGTAACATTTTTTGAAACAATTATAAAATTTATAACTCTTGTAAAAATCATTGTCCTGGCTTCTATTAATCATTGGGCTCAAATACAAAACGAGGAAAGAGTATGGCAATTACATGGCTGGTTTTCCAGCTCACCAGGGAGCTTTTTCCAGTGCTGTAGGAGAACCTGTTCTTTCTAAAACAAGAAACAAAGGGGACGGCCAAAACCACTGGGTTTCCCCCACTCTTACAAGTCAGCTATTCTGAGAAGGGATAAGATTCTGTCTTTTAATGGTATGCTGAGCAATCATCTAACAGCCAAACAGGCTGCCGGTGCAGTGACAGCCCAGCCAGCCTCTCTGCCATCACGTCTACTCCTAGTAATAGCGAAGTGAGATTTAGAAGCTTTGAGTCGATGCTGAAGAAAGCACAAGAGGCATTACAGGATGGTACAAAGAGGACCTGCACCCTGCTATGTTCTGTAGGACTGTGACAGCTCCCTGAAACCAGTAGCTCCCCAGCAGCTTCATTCCAGAGGCAAAGCACAGTGGTACACCACCGTTGTGGTGATACATATGAATTTTGCCAGTGAGAGAAGATTTACTCGTATTTGTGCTTTGTTTAGTCCCTGCCCTTGCCTCAGCGCACTGCCTTTACTTCTACTTGCTATTTAGTGATTAACATTCATTTATATCACCTGTACAACAGCAGTAGTTCTATTCACATCTCAGGGATGCTGGTGACATGAAACATCTGATGTTAACAGAGCTCTTTGAAGAGGTAAAAAGAATAGTGCTGTGTTATTATCACAATTTACATCATCAGTGTAATGGACAAATACGCTTTCTGCCTATTTTAAGCTACCTTTTATTAATTAATCCAATGCAGTAGAGCTAATTACTAGTAATTTGCAGTTTCCAAAGGCCTGTATGTAAAGGCTTAGCCACATTTATTTCGCTAAAACAGTTTCCTTTAAAGAGTTTACAAAGTTGAAGGTCACTTCTTATTTCTACTTGTCTTGCAAATGCAGACACTTTTTCTTCCCCCAACAATGCACAAAATTCAAGTCAAACAACCATGTAAGCTTTTAATGATATTCATAAATTCAGAATTAAACTTTTTTTATTCCTTAGTCTATTTGCCTTAATTAGCACCAACTGCACTGATCTTGTTTTCGGTCAGATAACCAACCCTTCTAAGAGCTTATGAAAAAAATTTCTTTGCAACTCTAATAATTACCATAATCCCATTCTAGCTGAGCAGTTGTGTCTTCATTAGAAGCAAAATTTATCCTAATTGTCAGAGAACTCATATTTAAGAAATAGTTATGATTAAAATTAATCAAGGCATGCCTAAGTCACAGGTTGTTCCATTTGCGAACTGTCCCAGATCCTCATGTTGAAGAATTTAAATATATGTAATTTAAAATTTAAATTAATATTTTCATTCTAGTGGAAACAAACAATTTTAGCAAAAAAAAATAAAAATAAAAAATGCAGTGGTATCACAGAATGTTTCACAGACAAAAATTTGCAGGAGAGAGCCCCTGACCTATTTGCAATTGAAAAGAACAAACAGATCAACTCAATTTTTGTATCATAAATGAGATACTTGGAAATTTAAGGATTTACCTAAGACATTTGTGACAGCCTAGAGACTTGATCTTCCAGATTAGTTCATAGAATACATTGTGATGAAAAATTCTTATTAAAAAAAAAAAAAATTCCCTCCTTAAGCCAAGCTGGAAAACACATCCCTCAGCCATCTAAGTGAGCAATATGCAGAGCCTGCACAAAAGCTTTCACTGTCCTTAAAATGAAACATTCACCTCCAAAACTGTATGTGTGTTTCCTTTGAAATCACAGGACAAACTGCATAGACATTGGGGAGGGGGGGGGGGGGGGGAAATTTGTCCCTCTGATAGGAATGATGAAGAAATAACAATGACAAAATTACTTGAGTAGGAAGGCTGAAGGAGTTCTACACATTTGATGTTACATTTGACTAGAATAAACCCAGTTGTGAAGGAGCAAGATTCAGGATGGGAACAGTTCCAGGCGTGAAGAAAAGCATACAGCAATCAGCAGGACTTCATTATATGGACCTTACAGTTATTATATGGACTCTACTGTTATTATGTGGTTTCATTGTATTCACACTACACAGTGCACAGCCTGGACATGCCCAGGCTTGCCATGAGTTTGCCTGCTGCCTGCTGCCTTCTGCCTGCTCCCTCCTTCCCCCGCTCCTCCCCCTTTTGGCCGTGTCCGTATCCTGGTTTGTCCCCCTGCTTGTCTGCCTCATGCTCCGCCCTATGTTCTGGCCCTTTCCCCTCCCGACCTGACAAAAGACAGCGTGCACGTGAATAAAGGATTCTACTTGCAACCTCTCTCGTTTCCCGTCCCCTCTGCGGACCGTGGCACCCAGTATAGTCAATAAGCACCTCTGAGATTTTGTTATAGTCTGCACTACACATCCTGCCAGCACTACTCTCTGTCCTTCCTAAATAAACAGGAAAGAAAGGGAATCATCACAGAGAGAACAAAAACAGGTGCATACCCCCTCAATATTAAGACTGTCAATATATATAATTTTGAGACAAGCACTAAATCCCTAAAACTCAACAATGTTGTAGCAAGAAAATACATGAAATTTTAGAAGCTTTTCTGTCAAGAAAGCATTTTCCTGAATACTATCTCAAATTAATTTTTATTTCAGCATGTTTCCCTATTTAAGGCCAGCAGCTATTTAATGTATCATTAACAAAATATAACATGAAGAGAGATGATTTCATATAGTAGGCATGCATATATGATGAAACTCCTGGTGTTGCTGTAACAGACTGTATTTTCCTTTGGTAAAATGATGTCTTTCCCCTAAATTCCATAAATTGAGGCCAATTGCAATAACATGGGTTTTGTCCCTGTTGCGCTGAGCCACAAATTTGGTAAATTCCTTGCCAAAGGTTATTTTTGGGTTCAAGGGGAGACCAGACAAACATTTCGAAGAAAAATCTACCAATGGTACTACATAGACAACATATAACAGCTTCAGAGGTTTACCAAGGAGAAAACTAATGAAGATTAGAGAGCATCAGAAAAAGCATTGCAGAAGAACATCCCATTCTTATTTCCCCCCAGATGACTTTTTATGGTAAAATAGTGGGCTAAATCTCCTTAACTAAAGGGAGAAAAGAGAACTACCAGAACCAGAGGGAGGATGGGAGAAAAAGTGTGTAAAAGCAATATTACAGCAGGCTCTAAAAGAATTAACACTCTTCAGACCCTTGATTTTCCTCAGCAGACATTCCCTCCTCATCACCCCACCTTCAAACTTCTCTTTCCTCTTACAACTTTAAAAAGCCAATCAACAACATATTAAAAAGTCTTTTGGCATACTTAATCTTTTATTTTTAAGTCATCTACATTTTCTTTCCTAAACTTATTATGTTATGAGATCTCACAGAACACAAAGAGAACAAGAATAATGTGAACA